TCACCATGTCAGTCGGGAGGGGGGGAAACAAAGCCAAGCATTTGCAAGTCCTGCCTCTGCACTAGACATGGAGCATTTCAGACCCCCTGCTGATGTCGGTCCACCATACTGTCCACACATGCTCACATAATTCAGGTCCCTGCGACTGGAATCTGCTTTGTTCTCTTAAATGCCTTCAGATGGTAGTGCGCAGTTTCCATCAGTTGAAGTCATGCTTGTTTGATTGGCCGGGCGATGACAGGTGCTGTTGACCTGGTCAAAGCCTCGTACTGCAGGTGATGACGCAGGTCAAATCAGTGGTATTAGATAGGACGTGACAATGGCTGCTCAGCTCAGGTGTACATTGTACAAGAGAGATAAAGACATCTGGATGAGATACACATGTGGGCCCTTTTTGAAGCAGAGACTATTATGGGAATCCAAGTTTTGTCAAATATATACAAAGTCATTATCAGTATTCTATGGTGTTTCTGTTGAAATTGAGTTTTCAAAAATCAGGCTGTTCCAGACCAACTGCAGGAAATACATGATTACAATATAATCCCTGCTTTGTTGCAGATCCCAATGCTGTCCCCAAATCCCCAAAGTTTCCTCCCAGGTCACTGTAGTGCATTATACACAGTTGAGTTTAATAACACAAAAGACAAAAGACAAATAAAGAAAAAGGAGGAAATTTAGTTATTCGGGGGCGGTAGAACATCTTTTTTTGTGATTGACTCACTAAAGAATAACTCCAGTTCCAGACCAGTATTATTTGTCCTTAAACAAGGTTCCTCTCTGCTGCTTAGTGACTGAGGAACTGCTGATAGTCAGGCTCCAAAACTGTGTGGACTGGGTGGAGTTCAGGGTTTTGGGAAATCTGTCAATTTACTTCAGGTTATACCGTGTCAGCACAGGGAAGAAGCATAAGTAACGCAAAGCAGCTTCGTCTGTGTCTACACCGGATGCGTTCAGGTACAGTAATGAGTGTGGATCACCAGCATTTTACCAGTGTTCAGAGCCCAACACACAATGACTCCAATTACATAGGTAAAATGGAAGAAAATAGACGTGAAGTGTAAAAATATGCTTACGTGCATACAGTATGGATAAAACACAAGCTGCTACAGCTGCAGCATTAAAATAAGAACGCTGAAAAATTTTAGCTAATTAGTGTGTTATGTCTGTATTTTGGGGGTTTTAGAGGATGTTACTTCTTGATGAACAGCAGTTTATCTTCTAGCACTTAGCTCCCCAAAAACTGAAAATTGTTGTTTGTGTTTGTGTATAGTTTTAATTAGTGAGCTTATAGGTGTTAATAGTGGTTATTTTTCACTTTAGACAGAGCCAGGCTAGCAGTCTCCCCTGCTTCCAGTCTTCAGACTAAGCTAGGCTCACCATGTCCCGATCATTGACATTATATAATTAGTGGACCGAGCTTGTGGATCAGTAAAGTGAAGCCACTGCAGAAGCAACTTAACCCTTCATGTTTTTCTAATGGGCGACTCCACTGGCTGCAAAAGAAAGTGCATTTGTATTGACTGTAATGGCAAAATGAGCCTACTTTTGACTTGACTTTGACTTATTAGTTTCCTAATGAGTTAATGGTCTCAGTCTCTAGTTTCAAGTCTAATTCCACATAGCATCATGTTCATTTAGTAAATTTGGTCCCATTTAGATTAGATAGAGCTTGCTTAAGGATGTGGCTATCTTGTGATTGACAAGTAGTTCTGACAAGACTGAAAAGTCGGTCCAGCCCAACGCACGAAACTCAAATCAAACTAAACTAAACACAAAACTGTCAAACTAGGTAGCGCTGACACTGACCCACAAATCCTTTAAGAAACATGTTATAGTGTACTGTATCTGCAATACCAGAAAGTTTGTGACCAGGCAGGCAAAGTCAAAACCAAGCACAATCGTACTCAGTATGCCACCACCACGCTCTTGTCCTAATCATTGTCCTGATTACTACTGACTCCAAAAAAGCGAGATGATGACACAAATGGGTGACGTCACAGTGGTTGGTCCTGACTCACAGACCTGACACCATTACCAAAACTAAAAACTTTGAAATTGTCCTTTAACTAATGAAATTTGGGCCTAAACAATAGTAGATTCACATTTGTAGGATGGTGCAGGATAAACAGTCTAAAAAGCACTGTTCACTAACAATAACATTTTATCTAGTGTACAAAAACTGTAAAGAACTGTTCTGTAGCTGCTGTGTGCTGCAATATAAGTCAGTGTCAGTGTAGCTACAACTTGTGTTTGGTGGGCAAGCAGAAGTCTTAGCAACAAATATCTCAAAACCAAAAACTGTAAATCTAAAGGTACGTGAGAAAATATGAAAAGCATCACCTGAATGTTAGACTATCATCACATCAGCACAATCTGATGCAACACCTCCAGTGAAACATCTGGTATAAACCAAACAAGCCACAGGGTTATATGCTCTGATTGTGATGACCCTTTACAGCGCTGAGGC